TATAACCGATGTAGGCAAAAAAAAAAAAAAATACATAAATGATCACATATATATATATATAAAAATCGTGAATGCATACATGTTAGCATCCATAAAAAATATTCAACACTTCAAGTATAAAATTCTCCAAAATTAATGTTATTAGGGAATTTTAAAATGGTTCTTATCTTTAAAACGGTCTACACTTGAAGATAAGTTCGTTCAATAATTTATTAGCATTTTTATATTAATCATTATGATTTTTTCTTTTATGCATAGCTTCCATTTGTCCCTGAAATTTTACAGAGTCTGTGATTGACAGATGATCCGCCATTTTATTTGCGGTATGAGGCCTCCATCTTTAAGATTCCAGATAAAGCCGTTTGATATCTTAAAGACACATTGGTGAAGGAATGCCAGTGATTATAAAATCTCTATTTCCCACTCCCAGCTGATATCCCTATGTATACCTTCTTCTGACTGATATTTTCCTTCGGAAAAATAGTAGCTTCGTATACTACATTTTCAGAAGTACAAATACCTCCAACTGCGCAGATATTTCCGATTTTCTAACAACAAGGAGGTTTATTTTGCAGTGTTTCACTGTCATAAAATTTCGTAAAATATGTTATCGTGTGAATGAATTGTATTGTGTATATTACTAGTACATGAATAATTGATTTTTAGAGTTTTTCTATTAAACATTTTTCTTAAAGGGTTGTTATGATAGAAATATTTGCCTATTAAATTTAAAAAAATATCTGCCAATATTAATATTAGATAATTTACAGAAAGCTGGATTAAATCATATTATCTTTCTTTTTCTGTTTTTTGTTGTATTAGTTCAATTGTTTTTCAAAGTTTCCTGGTAATTTAATTCTTGTTTGAAAATACTTTTTTTTTAGAGTATCAATATAACTTAATTTATTCTCATTGATTTTTCTGTTAAATTATAATCTACTAATTCTGCTGTTTACAGTGTTAGTGATCTCTCTTTCTCTTCCCCATAAAATATAATATTATATTGAAATCTCTCTTTCTCTCTATTTTTTTATTAAACCTTTTTCCTTTTTCTCTTTTCTATCCTTTTTCTTCAATTTTTTCTTTTCCTTTTCCTCGTGAACTATTATTAATCTAAAAATGGTTTGAAGAGATGGATAGGAGGTCTACGAAATAAATTATAACCTGCACTGGTGTATTTTTAAGGATTCATTATATATATATATATATATATATATATATATATATATATATATATATATATATATATATATATATATAACTAAACAGCAAAATTGTCCAAAATTTGTAAAAGCAAAATTTGTTCATTTGTTAGTTTAAGATTTCAACCGATCTATTTTCGAAATGATTAAAGATATCTTACTGGAATTGTCCGATGTTTTTATAACACTATTGGACTCTACTTTGAGCAATAAGATTGTATAATTACTCTACAAGATTAACAGAAGAATTGTGATGAAATCGATCATAAACGAAAATTACATCTTCATCATTAATTAATCATAGCTAAGGATCGGAAGCTCATGAAGGATTGAAATACACACACACACACACACACACACACACACACACACACACACATATATATATATATATATATATATATATATATATTATTCCAGGATCATTTTCCAACTTGTGCAAATGGATGACAGAACATAGATTAGGAGGGATAGTAAAAACGTAAATATTTTTAAGAGCTGCGAAGTTATGGAGAGCCATGATCGCCTACGCCTTGAAGGGATTTGTAAACCTGATAGAAGAACAATTTCTATTGCTGCGTTTCCCAAATTAGGCTGAACGTTCCCCTCTCAAAACAAAATTTAAAATGCGATTAAGAAAAATACGAAATCCATATTTGCATTTACAATGTTAATGTGTAGTATACTATTATTTAAATATTATTGTCCGCCTAATATAAGGCCCAAGAGCCACTCAAGGTAAAGAATTACTGAATAAATGTTTTTGGAACGGCGTAAAGGGAGGCTGTAAGAAATCCATATTATGAGGATATGTAGGATAGATAAAGGTTGACCCTAGAGGTTAAGATCGCAATGATAGGGAAAACATCCTCTCGGGAGTCTGTTTCACAAATTAACACATCTGGGGATGAAGCTGTATGAGTGGAAGTATGAAGTGAATATGAAGGAAATGAGGATGAGTTGATCCTCTGTACGTGGTGTGGCTTTTCTGATTTAATGATCTGTGATTTACGGTTTATCTACATTTTGCAGGCTATTTAAAGCCAGAAATATTTACACTGAAAGATATTTTTATGAGTAATAATGATTTCCTGATACAAGACCTACTAATTAACCCAGTGCTGGGGGAGAAGCGGTGAATTCATGCATTTCACAAGTGCATTTGCACGTAACTTAATATAACGAACCCGACTGGAATTAGAACTTGGCTCACTGATCTACAATTCTGAGCCGTTATCCATTAGACCACCCGTATAGCCAAGCTTACAGAACCTGGTATTCACTAACGGTCACCCGTTTAGGTATTGACCAGATTCGATGTTGCTTAACTTCGGTGATAAGACGAGAACAGGTGTTTTAACTTAATATGTCTGTAAGCCACGTGGCGTGGCGAGTTAATTATTTTGTCTGATATGAATCTAATACCAAACATAATTCGTTCTAGGTAAGTCGATAAACTACATCCGCGTCCTGGGAAAGACTATAAACTAAATCCCACAGCAAGGCCTTTGATCAGGAGGTTTTGAGGAGCATGGAACTACCGCTTAATTACTGGTGTTCTCAGGTCCAACCTGATCCGGGGTGGTAGCACCTGTTAGGGTCCCAGCTATAAGAAAATACTTAACCCAACAAAAGGGGTTAAAACACAGTGAAAATATAAAAATAGGTTTTAATAGCAACAATACTTTTTTTTAAAAATTAATACCAGAAATACATTCTGAAGAAAAAATTATTACCAGCGATACATTATTACCAGCAGTACATTTTTGAAAAAAAATATTAACAGCAATACGTTTTTAGAAAAAAATATTACCAGCAATAAAAATCTTGTTGGCATTAAATAACCCATTGAGGTTGATATATCATAAAAAAAATCACCCCCCCCAAAAAAAAAACCCGTCGAAGAATTAAAGTAGGACATAATGTTGTCATTATCACGTGAAAGACTTTCCTTCTCAAAAGCCGTCGTCCGTCCTGAGTAAAACGATAAACTACATCCGCGTCCTCGGTAAGACGATAAACTACGTCCGCGACCTGGGTAAGACGATAAACTACATCCGCGTTCTGGGTAAGACGATGAATTACATCCGACAGCAAGGCCTCTGATCAGGAGGTTTTTAGGAACGTGGAACCACCTCTTAATTGCTGGTGTTTCCAGGTCCATCCTGACCCGAGATAGTAGCACCTGTTAGGGTCACAGCTATAGGCAAATAGTTGACATTCAAACTTGGGTCAAAACACTATGAGATTGTAGAAATAGGTTTTAATACCAGCAATACATACCAGCAATACATACCAGCAATACATACCAGCAATGATTGTTTTTTTAAGAAAAAAATATTACCAGCAATAAAAATTTTGTCGGCATTTAATAACCCATTGAGGTTGACATGTCGTAAACCAGAAAAAGCGAAACCATACATAAAGATTACAAAAGGCGAAATTGTGACCATTTTGGAGACAAATGGTTTATTGTGTACACCTCTTGTTGAGTGACATTTCTGTATCTATTCTCGTTATACAAGAATCTGGTATAATAAATTCAATACTCACCTAATTTATGACGCGAATAAACTATTCGATGGCTTGTTTTGTCCTTCATCATTTGAAATATGAGTGTAGCGAAATTCTTTTCATTTATTGGCCTTGTGTCATACTAAGAAAAGTTAATAACAAAGGCAAAGACTATTTTAAAACATAATTTCATCTCAACTCTTTCGCCATATTCTGAGTTACATTTAATAATGCTCTGGTGTCAGGCCGACGTGGTTTGTACCAAACGCCATCAGCCAAAAGCGAAGGTCTAACATTATTTTCCCCCTCGAAACGAATGTCGGTGATAAACCTAGCCTGATGAGAAAGAATAAATCAATCTTGAACGCAGAAGTGTGGACATCAAAGAAGAGGAGGAAGATCTGGAGAAAAAGATGAAGATTTGAAGAAGAAAAAAAAAGATAAAGGTGTGTGAATGGAAGAATATAACTGAAGAAAAAGAAGACGTCGTATGAAGTCGAAACAGAAATAATGGCCGAAGAAGAAGAAAATAAGGAATAATTAATATTTAAAAAAAGAACGGAAAAATAAGAAAGAAAAGATAACTGAAGAAAAGGAAAAGAAAAAAGGTGTAAGAATGAGAAATGCTAAGGAGGACGCAGTAGGAAGAAGAAGAAGAAGAAGAAGAAGAAGAAGAAGAAGAAGAAGAAGAAAGGGAGAGAATTAGAGAAACTGGTGATTAGCTGTTCATTTTTCGCTATCAGGTCCGGCCGGTCGGTCCATCTGAGCTGGCTATCGTAACTTCAGTGAAGACTTCACAACTGTTTCCTCACAGTGGGCACTGGCTCGCCTTTAGCCGATAGCGAATGGTTACCTCTTTTTATTGAATATATATTTCACCATTTCCATCAGTCACCAAGTCCTTAACCACGTGATATCGTAGGTTGAGTAAGGGTGGTAACTCTTCAATGTCCATATCCTTATCGCAATGTGTGTTTTCGTCAGAACACCCTTACCGGAGACTCGACATTTTCCGCATCTTAACAGCATTTGCACCTTTGTCTCTCTTTTTTTTTTTTTTTTTTTAACTTTTATTTTTTTTTGGTTCCAGTCTTTTTATTACTTTTCATCTTTTTACATGTTTGGCTTTTATCTTTCTTTCGTTCGGTAGATTAACCTTTTGTAAGAATAAAAATAAGATATTTGTTATTTCTGTCTTTCTCTCTTTTTCTTTCATCAGGTTTCTTTTAAGTAAGACATTTTCTTTCTTTCTTTCCTTCTTTCTTGAATTTTCTTTTCAATAAGACGTTTTCTTTCTCATCTTTCTTTCTTTTTCTTTCTTTCTTCAGATTATATTTAAATAAAAGATTTTCTTTCCTTCTTTCTTTCTTTCTTTCTTTCTTTCTTTTCAATAAGACATTTTATGTCTTCCGATTTTTGAAAATAAGACATTTTATTTCTTCATCCTTTCTTTCTTCAATTATCTTTTCAATAAGTTCCTTTCTTTCTCTATCTTTCTCTTTCTTTCTTTCTTCAGATTATATTTAAATAAGAGATTTTCTATCCTTCTTTCTTTCTTTCCTTCTTTCTTCAATTATCTTTTCAATAAGTCCTTTTCTTTCTCTATCTTTCTTTCTTTTTCTTTCTTTCTTCAGATTATATTTAAATAAGAGATTTTCTATCCTTCTTTCTTTCTTTCTTTCTTTTTTTCTTTCTTCAATTTCCTTTTCAATAAGACATTTTGTCTTCCGATTTTTGAAAATGAAACATTCTTTTCTTCTTGCTTTTTTCTTCAATTTTCTTTTCAATAAAACATTTTCTTTCTGTTTCTCTTTTCTTCAGATTTCATTCAAATACGAGATTTTGTTTCTTTTTTTCTTCCTTCTTTCTTTCTTTCTTTCTTTCTTTATTTCTTTCTTTCTTTCTTCAATTTTCTTTTAAATAAGACATTTTTTCTTCGGATTTCTTTTAAATGAGACATTTTTTACTTTTTCCCTTTTCTTCATTCTTCAATTTTCATTTAAATTAGACATTTTCTCCCTTCAGATTTCTTTTAAATAAGACATCTTTTCTTTTTTCTTTTTCTTTCTTTTTATCTTTTTTCTTTCTCTACTTTTCTTTTAAATAAGATATTTTCTTTCTTTCTTCAGATTTTTTCCAAATAAGAAATTTTCTTTTTTTCTTCTTTCTTTATTCAATTTTCTTTTAAGTAAGACAGTTTCTTTGATTTTTCTTTCTTTCCATCTTCAGATTTCTTTTGATTAAGACATTTTCTCTTTTCTTTCTTTCTCTCTTTCTTTCTTTCTTTCTTTCTTTTCTTCATTTTTTAAAATAAGACCTTTCTTTCTTCTTTCTTTCGTACTTCAGGTTTCTTTTAAACTGGACATTTTATATTTTCTTTCTTCTCTTTCTTTCTTTCTTTTTTCTTTTTCTTTCTTTAGTTTTCTGTTAAATAAGACCTTTTCTTTCTTTCTTTCTTTCTGTCTTGCTTTCACTTTTTATCTCTTTCTTTCTTTCTCTCTTTCTTCTCTTTCTTTCTTTAGTTTTCTGTTAAATAAGATATGTGTTTAAAATTTTCAACAATAAAAAAGCAGTTTTTCCTCAAGAACAGAGAAAATAAAGATAATTCTTCCTTCGCAAAGAAGAAAACAAATGCCGCTATTTTGCCAATATTAAAGAACATAAACTATTTGCTCCATCACTTAAGAAGAACGAAAGAAAATCACTTAGCAAACAAGAAAACAAACATCATTATTCCATCAGAAAAGTAAAAGATGATAGCTCCATTAGTAAAGAGAGAGGAAGAAGAATTTTCTTGGAAGGCGTAGAGAAGCTATATGAAAGGAAGAAAAAATAAAGAGAATTTCCGTGAAAAGAAAAAAGGAAGAAAAAAAAACGTAAATGAGTAGAGGATGTGTGTAGATGAAGAAAAAGAATATGGGAATTTCTGTGGAAGAAGCAAAAACAAAAGGAAAAGAATTTCCGTAGAAGAAGAAAATAATGTCTGTGAATGAAGAAAGAGCGAAAAGAGTTCACGTGAATCAAGATACGAATGAAATCATTTCTGTTGAAGAAAAGAAGAAAAAATGTAATTTCCGTAGGGGAAGACAGGAAAGCATGTTCGGAGAAAGTAGATAAAAGAGATTCACTAAAAAGCATCAGTGCTAAAAATGTTAATTTAAAAATTTAAAAAAAAAATCTTTTCAAAATCTTTTTTTATGCAACTAGCTAAAAATAATTTTTAAATAAAAATATATCGAAAAGAATAAGCTGTATTAAGTACATTGGGATATATACAAATTTAAACTTTAAAAAAAAAATCATTTCACTCCATTAGGGCAGTAAAGCCACTAAGACACACGGTGTTACTGAATGTGAAACAATGAAAAAAAATTTAAAGGAGTGAGAACGATAGAATATTAGTATCTGTCTATATTTCTGAGATGAGGTATTATGTACACTATTTACATTATTCGTCCTCATCTTTGTCGCCATATTTATTACAACGTTTCGGACTTCTTCAGGTGGTTGGAATGTCGAATTGAACCCTTTATTTCGCTCACTGTTCTATATTGTTTTAGTTTAACGTGCCATGTTTAATGGATATCTGTTATCTCCTGTTAAAATCTCCAAATACTCCACTGACTTAAACAGGTATTGAACTCACATTCTTTGGATTCTGTCACTGGTTTTAACAAACGCCTTTATCCACTGTACCATATGTCCTTGAGGACATCTTTGTATGAATTTCTTGGTATTATAAATATAATGTCTTCAGCAATCATTTTTTACCAGTGCTCATATAGCAAATTTTGCTGTTATCATTGCAGATTTTACCAGAGCTCATATTTCATTTTTTTTGTCATTATCGCTTTTCTCTGGCTCTCCTTATTACTGGTTTTCCCATATTGTATTCATTTCTATGCTTGATCGGCTCAGGAGATATTTTTGGCCTATCATATGTGCTGATTCCATAAGTTTGTGAATTTTCCAATGCTGTTTTTTGTCTATGATCTCAACCTGATCCCACAGAGGGCGGTGATCTCCCTTTTCTCTCCATATGTGGTCAGCCACGCTTGATTTTTCCACTTGCCCTCGTGTTACAGTTGTCTGGTGTTCTTGAAGCCTTACCTTAAGGGGGCGGCCTGTCTCTCCTTTGTATTTTCTTTCCGCAGCTGCACCGGATAGCGTACACACAGTTTTAGTCATGTTCTCCTCTATGGTGGGGAGTCTTACTCGGGAGTGAATAGAATATTAATCAAGAAGACAGTAGATAACGATTAGCATTCCATTTAAATTTTTGAAGATCAAAGTTGGATGGAAAACATAGAGTCCGAATAGAGTTCCACAGACGATAAGTGCGAGAAAATAAACTCTTAACTTACAAGTTACGGTTACATCTTCAACAGTAATTTGATGAGACATTACTGCCAATATGATATAGTGCTACAATTAATAACGTCTAAGTACCATAGTAGAGAGTGATATTTATTTGTACAATGATACAAAATGTGGCACAAGGCCAATTAATGAGGAATGGAATGGGGAAAAGCACAGTCTTCTCTCTTAACTTTAGACTTAGCTGACCACAAATACTGACCCAAAGAAACCACAATATTCCTTACAACAAAACAACGCATTCTTACTTACCTTTCTTACTATAACCACCATAATATTTCCTTGTCTCCATGAAAGTCCTAAGTAAACCCCATATTTACGATTCATTGTCTGTGGAGGGGGAGGAATAAAACAACAATTTAAAAACTCTAACCCCAATTAATATGTATAAAAATGCTACCATAGTGAAGAGTTCACCCGAACAATTACCATGAAAATATGTATAGGAAACATTACGGCGGTTGGGAAGTGACTGAAGCCGTGACGCCAGGTTAGGACCAATAATATTGCTGAGCCATGTTTGGATTTTATCAAGAATCATTAAATATATAGCAGAAGCAGCGGACCATATGTGGCAGCAATTTTCAAAACATGGACAAATGGTGGATTTGTTTGTATTTTAAAATCATAACAAATTTATATTTGGATAAAACCCAATATAAAGACAATATAATCAAATTTGTATCAAGGATTCGCATAATTAAAATCTAGTAATTAAGAACTTATATAAGTAATTAAGAACTTATATCATTAATATTAATCAAGACATTTCATTAAAGAAAATATATTCTATTTACATTATTTACATTATTCAGACTGCAATTCGCATCTGGATCTAACACATGGCCCAGAGGATAAAGGCGTTGGTTAGATGTAGTGATTAGACCCAAAGAGTTCTGAGTTCAATACCAGGCTACAGCAGTGGTAAACCAAAACTTTAAGTGATTTAAAGTGAAAAGGATAATAACTGAGACATCCGGAAGAGGCGTGACGAGTGGAACTAGAACAATCTACCCTGGAGGGCGAAATAAAGGGTTCGGTTCTAAATTTCAATCATTGAGCGTACAACGGCCGAAACGGTGAATCTGGCAATGAGGATATCAGTCCAAACAATGTCAATAATCAATGTCAATACCTCATCTCAGAGATATAGACAAAAGATTTTTGGTTGATTTAGTTTAACGACATATCAAAATATCTATGGGTTATTTAATGCCGAAATCTAAATATTTTGAAGAAAATTTTATTACTGTAACTAACTATATTTTGAGCGCAATTTTATGCCTTCGACTACAGATGAAATGCATTGTTGGTCATTTTACTATAAATAGTTATTGTTGCTAATTTTATTAAAAATAGTTATTGTTGGTTGGTTCATTTGGTTAACAGCATATCGACCTCTATGGGTTATTTAATGCTGAAATATAAATAACCCGCGCGCAATTTTATGCTTTCAACTGCAGATACCATGTACATAAATTTATACTTTCAGGGTAAAGGTATGTTATTTTAGATTTTACTTTGTAGATCATAAAATGTATCGTTGGCAATTTTATTATAAAAAATGTGTTTTTATATTTTTTTAGTGTTGTATTGATTGTCATTTTTCTATAAAAAAAATGTTGTTGGTGATTTTATTATAAAAATGTACTATTGATTTTTGTTTAGGGGTTAACTATTTTTTGATAGATGGGACCGTAATAAGTGCCCTCGCCCCGGATCGGGGTGAACCTGGGAACAACAGTAATTCAGAGGTGGTTCCACGGTCCTCAAAACTTCCAATGTTCCGATCAGAGGCCTAGCTGCCGGATGTAGTTAATCGTCATACCAAGACGCTTACACAAAAAAGAAAGAAATACTTGATATAGCAGTGTATAAACTTAATGACAACCATTACAGAAGGAAAACTGAATGTGGCTTAACACTTGAACTATAACTAACATAGTTGTAATATAAAGCACACCTGGTTTAGAAGGAACATATGAGGAAATGGGCATGCTCGAAAATGAGAAACCGTACTAGGTATTTACTCTGCTTCCCCACTAAGACGAGTAGTGATATAAGGTTATTTTAAGGTGGGGACCCCGAGCGCGTACACCCGGGCAAGGAACAAAAATTACCCGCAACCGTCGGTTGCGCTGGCCTCGGTGCGAGCACCGATCCTTCTCTCATGTACAATGAGACGGCGCGACCTCGGGCAGCTGTTACCCAGGGCTGGGCACTTCTCAGTATAATTTTCCTCAGTTGCGACTCTGTCCTTTGACAATATGCATGATTAAACAAGAAGGAAAAAGTAACCAAAAAGTTAAACATTTTTTGCATAAAATTAAAAAATACCCATCAAATAATGATGTTTTGATTTGGGATTAAAAATTATTTCCATATAAAAACATGTTAATAGATAAATACATATTCAAAAGACTGACTCTGACAGGCGGTGGATTAATATGTATGGGAGGCTAGATAATACATGCTGCAGACAATTGCTCAGGCAGATATGTGTTTGTTCAACACCTGCAAAGCCCACTTAGGGTTTATACTGCAACTATGCTGAATGGATCTTAGTTTTGGGGAGAAAGCGCGTTATATAGCGTAATTAACAGTCTGAACAAGGCCATCACACAAACACTCGGTCACGTTGACTTGTGCCTTTGTGCGAGGACAAATATCGACGGTTACCTATAATAGATAAAGAAAAATTCAAAAAACCTATCTATCCAAACTTCAAATTTCGGGGATACACTGCTCGTCAAAGTCATATAAAACTATTCTTTTGAAATTTTTTTGATCAATTAACAATTGATGGTCTGTTTTAGATAATGTGCACTTTGTTTAAAAAATCTACCAAAAATCTTCAGAAATTTACTTATCTACATGTTTTTCTGGGCCATTAAATATCTTTGTTGTTGTTGTTATTATTATTATTATTATTCTGCGCGTATTTTCTTTTTCAACCGGGGGATCTTTCAAGACGAATAGCGTCCATCGTCTTGCAACCTCAAATAAACATGAAGCACATGAATATTTACAGGACTAAGCTTTTCAGACTTCGTTATTTACCCGAAGCCTACTCACAAGGCGTTATGTTGCACAAAGCTGGTTTTTAATGTGGGGCGTTCCGAGCCCGTAGGCTCGGGTAAAAATACCGCGTAGACCCAGGGTCGTATTTGTCT